AAAAAATTTTTTTCAAGCCCACTGAAAGTTATAAGAATAATAGCACAATGACATCCACACAAGTGTCAATCACTGTCACATCTGACTTCACGCTCATCACTCCTTGCTCTGATGCAGAAATAGGGCATGGCCTGAGAATAAGAATTTTTCTTTTAAACAGGCGCTCACCATGCTGCCCCTGATGGTCTTGAACTTCTGCACTCAAGCAATTCTCCTGCCCGAGCTCCCCTAGTAGCTGGGGCTACAGCTGTACGCCACCCGGCAGCTCAGGGATGTTTCCCGCAAAACCCCACACAGTGGACACCCGTGAGAACCAGGCCCTGTACGGTACTCCCGATTCCCTCGGCTCTCGGCTGCCTAAGGCAGCTCCTTTGTGGGCCTTTCCTCACCCAGAATCCAGATGAGGCCTGCTCAGGGCCACGCTGTCTCTCCACTCCTTCACCAGTGAATGCTCCAAGGGCTTTGTTTTGTTCTGTTTTGTTTTGGCAGGGAGGAGAAGGGGGTCTTTCATAACCTGACATTTGTAAGTGTCCAGCTAGTAGCCTGGCAGGAAGCCCTGTGTGGATTGGCCTGGCTGTCCCTAGATGGTGTCAGGCTGAGTGTCTGGATTGGGACTCTACTGACTCCGTGCTCCCTGACAACTGATCATTTGGGGATTGTTGTTGTGGTGGTGGTGGTTTTGGTACTGGGGGTTGAACTCAGGGGCACTTGTCGAGCAATAGCCTCGACCCTATTTTGTCTTTTATTTAGAGACAGGGTCTCACCGATTTGCTTAATGCCTCACTTCTGCTGAAGCTGGCTTTGAACTCGCAATCCTCCTGCCTCAACCTCCCGAGCTGCTGAGATTACAGGCCACTGGGGATCTTACTGCATCCTCTAAAGTCCCTTTTCCTACCTGGCATGTTGACACATACCTACTACCCTAGCTACTTGGGAGGCCAAGGCAGGATCATCATAAGTTCAAGGCTAGCCTGGGTGACAAAGGCAGATCCTGTCTCATAAAACAGAAATAACTCAATAAATTTCTCGTGTTTTTTAAAAATATTTATTCTTAAGTATTAGGTGAACACAATATCTTTATTTTACATTGAAGTGGTACTGAAGATGGAACCCAGTGCCTCGGGCATGCTAGGCGAGCGCTCTACCACTGAGTCACAACCCCAGCCCCAAACTTCTCTTGTTCTAAAGCCAGATGTGCTAATTTGTTACAGCAGCTCCAGGAAACTAATACACTGGGCGAAAAATCTTGGGGTTACTCTGGACCTCCACCGAGTCAGTCTGAAAACTCTGTTGGCTGTATCTTTAGTTTCTATAACCTCAACACCCACCGATGCCCCTGTCACTTAGCCAGATGGTATCAGTGGCCTCCCAACTCTTCTCCCTGGCCCTGCCCACCACTTCTGCATGGAGAGCCAGAGTGAATATGTGCAAAGAGGAGTCACATTCCATCCACTCTAAACCTTCCAGTGGCTCCCATCTCACACCCACAAAAGCCAGACGTGCCCTGTCCTACACGTCTGTCCTGGCTTGCTCTGCCCCACCTGCCGGCCTCCTGTCTGTGCTCTGACCTGGCATTTGCTGGTCCCCCAGATGGCAAAGCGCGTACGCCTGCCTCCTCTCCTGCAGATCCTCACTTGCAAAGCCACCTCCTGCCCTTCTGCCCCTGACCTTGCTCCGGTTCTCTCCTGACCACCTCCTTACTCTACTCTGTTGCCTCCACACCTACGCAACTGCACGTCTTCACCCGTCTGACTCACAGCCCTCAACTACACTTGATTAATTTATTAATTGGGAAAGTGGAAAGGCACTGAAGAGTTTTTGGCTGGGGAGAGCCAGATCAGAGATTTCCAAGATAACAGACAGGGCAAAGGTGGCCTGGACAGCAGAGAAGCTGACCCCAGGAAGGAGATGGGAGGTTAAGAGGAGGTGGGAAAGGTTGAGGTCCACTGGTGATTCCATCCTCATGTGTCTGGGGCTACTCTGAGGGTCTTACATGTGTCACCCTCTCCTCCTGGGAGAGGGGGTTCTTATTGGACCTATTTTATCTAAGAGAAGAGTAAGGCTCAGAGAGGTTAAGTCATTTACCTACAGTCACATAGCCAGTGGAGTCAGGACTTGAAGCCAATGTATGTGACTCTAGATCCCAGATTTTAATCACACTCATACCATTTCAGGCATCTGAGAAGAGAGATGAGTGGAGGAGACAGGACACATGTCAGCCCTGGGGCCTTGCGGGCAGGAGAAATTAATCTTCATTTGATGCTCATTGTTTTGGCCCTATGTTCCTCGCTCCTCCATTACACAGAAAAGGGTACAGGGCACAGAAACGGTGATCACTGGGTGATCCTGCTTAAGGGGTCTACCTTTTGTGGAGCTGGGTCCTGGGCAGCAGCAATGGACAGTATAACTCAGACTGCTGCTGGCAGCCCAAGTGCCAGATGACCCCACTCCTGTGCCCCTCACAAGTGGCTGTCAGGGCCTGAGGCGGGGGTGTGGGTCTCAAGCACTACAGCTGTTCCTGGCCTTAACTTACTGCCTCACTCACCCACCCCACCCCACCCCAGGCACTGCTGCCAAAGCCTGGCTCTGCAGACTCGGGGCCCCAGGCTCCCAGCGTCTCCTCTTGATAAAGACACTACTCAGCCCCTCTTCCCAGGAGGTCCCCAGTCTCCCAGCTCAGCAGCCCCTGCACTGCACCCAGCCTGGGCAGCTAGCCTGGCACAGGCTTCCCCTCTATCCTCTTCCTAACCCTAGCAGCTTAGGTGCCAGTGTGGGTGGCACTGCAGGCCAACCAGGCCCCAGCCCCATGGTGGGTGTGTGGGAGCAGGAGATGGCTGGCAAGTGCCTTGCTAGGTTGTAGGGTCCTGAGGAGGGTCCCTGGGATCCTTTCAGCCCAAGTCTCTGACTCTGTGCCACAATCATGTTTTTAAACCAATCCAATAAACAGCAGATTTCACACAAAGATCCACTCCTTACAGCAGATTCAGTGTTCAACAAATATTTATTGAGCACCTACTATAAAGCACTAGGCTCCCTTGAGGGCCTGGAGAGTCACTCCCCAGCCCTGCAATGAGCTTTGGTGAACACCACCACCATGGCTGCAGCTACAATGCACCAAAACCTCACCCCTCCGGTCTTGTGAGCACCCCCAGGGTAATAAACACCAGCTACACCATGAAGCTCAGGACTAGGACCTGAACCAGGTGTTTCCAGACCTAACCATGCAGATCTGGCTGAGGACCAAGCTGCAAGTTGCAGGAACACACACACACAACCCTGCCAGGGAGAACCAGGAGCCCACTGAGGGGCTGAGGCTGGGGTGGGCAGAGCTCCTTTGGATCATTTCCCCTCCCCACTTCCTCACAGCCCATGTCCAAACCACAGGCCTCCCCAGCTCCAAAAAGGGCCAGGAGTCTCCCCAACATTTAAGCTGAATTACCTTGTCCCCCAAACCAGGTTCTTGGACCCTTCTCTCAGACATGGGTGCCCCTCCCCACCCTTCCTGCCTGCCCACCAACACCCCTGAGGTAGGCACCTCTGACAGCCCAGGAAGAGCCCCAGGTGGGGTGCAATAAGTTCCCAGGGGAGACCTCGAGACCCCACCCCCTGCAAACCACGGAACGGGCAGGTCCCACACCTCCAAAGGTGACCTAATAGCAAGGGAGGTGGGAGGATGGCGGGGCCTGGACGCACAGCCAAGGCCGCCCAGGGGCACCGGGAGCCAGGCTC